CCCTGCCGAGGGCGCCGCCTGGTCTCAGCAGAGCCGCCTGGGGCCAGAGGCCCGCATGCCCGCAGGGGTCTGGGTGCGGAGTGAGTTTCTCCGTCAGCGCTAACAACGGCTGGCAGAGAGGAGGCTCGGTGACGCCCAGAATGTTCTGTGTCAGCAGCCCTGGGTGTGCGGCGCACTCCGGAAGGTTTTCGTGAACTTGGTGTGGTGGGGGCAGAGTGCTCCCCCCCGCGCCCCACCCCGCCCGGCCGGAGAGCTGCCCTCTCGGGGCTGGGGCCGCTTCTCGCCCCGTCCTTCGTGGCCGCGGGGCGCACGGAGGCGCTCAGCTGACGGATGTGGTGTCTCATCACCATGTGTGGGTGTGCGGACGAGGCAGATGCAGGGCGAGGCGTGGGGACAGCCAGTCCCGAGCCGGTCCTAAAACACTGATAAAACTCAGGACTTTGGAACGACGGGTGGGCGGGGGGAGGCTCCCTGTGTTTCTGCACCAGGTTTCTGGAGGGCGTTTCTGTGCCCTCTTCCCCTTTCACGTTTTTCCTCGCAGGGGTGGACGGGAACTGGAGACTGACTCTGGGCTGAGATGACTCAGTTTCCCTTCCCCCAGCACCGCTCAGTCCTCTGCAAGCGGCCCCGTGGCCTCTGGCGCGGCAGCCACCACACTCTCTGGCAGCAGGGCGCGGGGGTGCTGCCGTCCCCAGAATTCCTCCTCTCGGTTCCCCTTGGCCCTTTCCTAGGAATTCCTGAGGCCGGCCAGGCCAGTGAGGAGTAGGAAAGGTGGTCTGTGCACACTTAGCTTTCCACCCGGCAGACTTGCGCTCTCTGCTGTAAAACGAGAGGGTTGCCGTGTTGGCGCCCTCGGTTTCCGCACAAGCCCTGCGCCGTGCCCTTTTGGTCTCGGCCCGTTCTGCTGTCCTCCGTGTGGCGACAGCTCTGGGCAAGACGGGCAGCGTGCGTGGGCAGGGTTTGCAGCCCCGCGGGCCTGCTCCCTCCGGTGGGAAACACCAGTGCGGGGAGCGACCGCGTCCAGGGGTTCTGTGCGGGCGCTGAGCCTGGGCGCCGGCACGCTGACGTGCGGGCCGCCCCCTCTGCCCACGGAGGTCTGCCGGGCGGGTTCCTGCGGCCCTGGCGCGGGAGCGCCTCTTCCTGGGGGAACGGTGCTCTCCCATAGCGGTGCGGGTGCTGGGTGCTCCCCGTCCTCACGGTGGCCCCGGCCAGGTGTCGTGAGCCGCTAGCGTGAGGAGCGGATCACACCTACAGAAAAACACACTGTGAGTGTGATACTTGAAGACGGACTCTCAGCCCGTGGCCAGCTGAGGGTTTGGGAACTCTGTTTTCACTGGAGGAAAAGGAATGTTTGCTGCCTTCTGGCTCCATGCCGCTCTGCTTCCGGTGACGTCCCCGTGGGCCTGGGCGTGGACCCGCACCCTCCGACTCCGTGGGAGACGTGCAGCGGGGGCTCGTGAGGCCCCGGGACTCTGCTCGAAACGCCGCGTCGCCGTCCCGGCAGCCCCGGGGCCATGTCCATCAGGGGCACCTCTGCCCTTGAGGGGCCGCTGGTCTTTTCCTTCCTGGACGCTGCCATGCGGCGTGACTCGAGCAGGCGTGCTGGAGCGCCTGTGTCTCGGTGACGGGGTGAAAAGCCAGGCCGTCCCAAGGACAGTGTCTCCTCAGAGTCAGGGCGTCTGACCCAGAGGAGCCCCTCCCACCCCCGCAGCCGCTGGGGAAGGGCTGTGCTCGCCGAGCCCGGCGCGCCGCACCCCGGGGTGGGGGGGGGGGATGAGTGTGCGTGTGCATGGAGCCCACCCTCAGGGAAGGGCGAGGTTGGGGAGGGGACGGACGGGCACAGAGCAGGGTGGTGCTTGGAGGGAGGTACCCTAGTGGGGACGCACGCGGGCACAGAAATGTCCCTGGGAGGGCGACGAGCTGTCCTGAGTGGTTCTTGAGTTTGCTCGGCCCGAGCCTCGGGCAGTCAGCACCTGGGGTCCTGGAAGAATGTCCCCGGCTTTTCCAGGACTGCGTGGCAGGATCCCCGTGCGGAGTGGTGGGAGGTGGAGGGTCAGGAGGAGCAGCGGCAGCGTGGTCGGCCTCACCGAGGGCCCTTGTTGCAGTTTGGGGAAGTGCGTTCTTTCTGTCAGGAAGTCACAGCAGCTTGGACAGTCCCGGGGGACCGCTCCAGGGTGCCCGCTCCCTGTCTGTGCGCACAGTGGGGCTGCTGGCCAGGCGTGGCCAGCGTAGAGCTGGGGTCGAGCTGCTCAGAACAGGAGGCGCACCCGCCCGGAGCCCCAGGGCTGGAGCCTCGCCTGTCAGTGAGCCGGGCCCCGGAAGACCCCTGGGGGAGCCCAGGGGGCAGACTCCCAGGCCCCCACCTGGGCCAGCACATTCACGTGCCTCCAGGGGCCCCTTATAGAAGCAGGTGCCCTCAGGGGAGGGAGGATGATGGGACAGGTGCCTGCAGAAGAGCCGCGAGGGAGACGGGGGTCCGGACGTGTGGGCAGGGGGCACAGAGGCTCCGTCCTGGGTGAGATCGCCCTCGAAGGAGTGGGCGCTTGGGTTTTGGTGACCATCTCTACCTTTTGACTGTTTTGAAGGGTTTTAAGAGAAAATGTCTAATAGGACGGGATTATAAACTCCCAACTTTCAGTCACTGAAGCGTGGCCCTGAGTGTGCACCTTGGCCCGGAGACGTCAGCACTTTCCCTGCGGCGTTCCCGACGACTCACCCCTCACGGCATTTCCTCTGTCACCTTCTCACCCCGAGATAAGCTGCGGGTTTATTGGGGTGGCCGTGCTCTCTGTGTCCGGGTGAGAAACTCGGCCTGCCTGTGGGGACTGCCGGGTCGGAGTGCCAGGGGACCTGCCAGAAGTGTCAGCACTTCGGTTCCCTGGGCAGACACCCGTGACTGGGCTTGGCTGGTGTCATCATCTCGGGTTGCTGAGTAGCAGAACGCTGGGAGTCATGGCCATTTGAGTTTGTTCCGTGTGCCCTGCGTCGGGCTGGGTGTCGGGCTCTGGACGAACTTTGTACCTCTCTGCTTTCTCCTGCTGGTGTGGCTTTTATTGCCGCCTCGATGACTCAGGCTTCGGGCCTCATCTTCCCCTGCCTCCCTGTGTCCCATTGGTCCTTGAGCTTTTGGGGCTATCGGAGGGTTTGACCCCCCTTTCTCTCAACGTCCTCCACACCACACTCCACCTGCCACCTCCCGTCGTTAAACAGAATGAGTCTCTGATGACGTCTTCAGCTTGCGAGGCGCGCAGTGTGGCACTGATGCGTGCCTGCCCGCTCCCCACGCCGGTGCTTGGCAGCCTCCACCTTGCTCAAGTCCCTTCCGTCCCCACTCAGGGAAATGGCGCCCGTCAGTCACTTCGCCTGCAGTGGGAGAGGCGGCTGTGCCCAGCGGAACCTGCTGGTGCCAGTGACACTGGTCGTGGTGACCATGTGGTGTGCTCCGTAGCGCACAGGAAGCCACGCGTGACAAAAGAGAATGGGTCTGAGAGAACAAAGGGAGGGCTTTGGAAAGGCCCGCTGCCTGAAGAGGAAACAGAGTTGAGTCAGGTTTGGGCAAGGTGACAGGGGACCAGGCGGGGAGGGCTCCCACGTGCCGGCCGCCTCCCTGGGCCCGGGTTCTCACCCCCCCCCCCCCACCTCGGAGAGACTGGGAGCTGTAGGGGTGCGTCATGGGTGAATTTTATGTGAGAAACATGGCAGGGAACTCTGGTCCGCGGAAAAGGTCCCGTTGGCCCTCAAAACGAAGTTCGGTGGCTGTGCAAGTGTCGTTTACAGCGAATGGTGAGGGTGCGGGGCGGGGCGGGGCATGGAGTCGCGGTAACAGTCAGAAGGCCTGTTCCTCCGTGACTTGTGGTGTGGGTTTTCAGCGATGCCCACCGACTGTCCGTCACTGCGGGCGGGGAGCCGGTGTTCCTCCGGCCTCTTCCTCTCCCCCGCGTCTCCCTCGTCTTCGTGGCTGTTGACTTTCTACAGCGTCCAGACGTGGCACTGGCACCTCCTGCCACGCTGTCCCCGTGGCCGTAGTCCTGCCGCTGCGTGGGCTGCGCACCCACCGCCGGTCCCTGCGCCCTCAGCGTCCCGCCGAGGCTCCTCCCGAGAGGCCCGTGGGAGCGACAAGCCCCACTCCTGCCGTGCTGGGTGCTGTCCCGTGGCCGTAGCCCTGCCGCTGCGTGGGCTGCGCGCTCACCACCGGTCCCGGCGCCCTCGGCGTCCCGGCGCCCTCGGCGTCCCGGGCCGAGCAGCAGGCCCCGCTCTCGCTCTCGGCTGACAGTCGGAGGCTCCCGAGTGCTCCCGCCACGGCTTCTCTCCTTGGGAATTTCGTACATGTTGCTCCTTTTTCTGCTGGAATTTCATTGTGGAAATTTTCAAGATTCTGCCCCTCTTCTAAGTGATTGGGCCTTTTTGCCAGTTTGTGGAAATCCTGAAGTCTTACCCTCGGGGTCTGTGTTGGCGCCGACTGTTGAGGGCCAGCTTTCCCCGGGGCCCGCTGTGTCCTCGCAGGTGGCGGAGCGCCCTTCCTTTTCCAGGCCGGACGGCGGTCCGTCGTGTGGGTGCGGACGTCCTGTGCACCCGCTCCTCTGTCCACGGGGGGCGACGCTGTGGTGACTGCTGAGACGCTGGCATGTGCCAGGCACGGGGCCATCTCGTCCAGTCTCCTCCAGTGTCCCTCCCAACAGGAAGCGGAGGCATGGGGGGATAACGTGCCCAAGTTCACGAGCCAGCAGCAGAGCTGACATTTAACCAGGTCTGTCTGACCTCAGAGCCTGTGCTCTCAGCCACCACCTCGCTGCCTCGGGTGTAGCCGGGCAGCTCCACCACGGCTCATGGGAGACACCCGGGGCGTGATGAGCGAGCGTGGGGGACCCCCGTGGCCTCATTGACGGGGGATGAGTGGGGGGCCTGGGTCGCTGCTGCCCGAGAGCCCACAAGGTCCCCTTTGGGGCCGCGCCGACCACCGCAGAGGGCTCTGACCCTGCGTCCCTTCACTGCCCCTTCAGGTGCACTACATCCTGCAGGAAGTGGTGATGGGCGGGATGGTGCTGGAGACGAATATGAATGAGATCGTGGCCCAGGTGGAAGCTCAGAACAGGCTGGAGAAGTCAGAGGTGAGTGCACGGCTGTCCCGGGCCCCGGCTGGTTCCGGAACACCCGGGCAGGCAGCAGTGGGCACCTGGGTTGGTTTGTGGGCCATGGCACCTTAGGGGCGGCTTACACTCACCTTCTTTCTTCCTGGAGCCCGTCAAAGCTCATGGGTGCGAGGGCAGGTAGGAAGGAGGCTGAAAGTGTGCTGGGAAAGCCAGGTGGCCGGGGAAGGAAGGCAAGCAGCTTCGTGGGGGGGGGGGGTTACCGCCCACGTTTGTGGCTTGTAATTCCTCCTCTCAAAGCCACCCGTTCCCGGGGGGTCTAGCGTCCCCCCCTCTGATCCCACTGTGGCTTCCTGGCCTGCGCCGGGGGAGGCTGCTCTCCCAGTGGCCACTGCTCGTGGCGTCTGCCGGACCTCAGCGTAGCCGGTTTCCTTGTTTCCCGAGAGCCTTACAAAAAGCTGCAGTGGAGTTTGGCCGGGGTCTGAAACCAGCCCAGCCCACCCGCACATCGCGCAGATGTGCGCAGGAAGTCTGCCCTGGCCCCTGGGGTCTCTCCGTGGCCGCCTCCAGCCCCACTCGGGCGGAGAGGTCACAGGGGCACCTGCACACGCAGCGGAACTCGCAGACCGAGCGGCCGCCTCAGCTTCCCAGGGGTCTGCCACGGCTTCCTTGCTTTGTGCAATGGGACTTGATCTTGCAAAACCAGGAACTCTTTCTGTGGGGACCGGCGGGCCTGCTGAAGAAGCTTTTCCAGCCCACAGCTATTGTGGCAACTACAGTTCTCCTAGAAACGCAGGCTGGGAAGCTTCCAGGAGCGGCGAGCGGGTCTGAGGCCAGGGGCTGGAAACCAGAAGGGCTGGAGCCTGGCTGCGCAAGGACAGGGTGGGAGCCGGTCCGGAGGGGGGCTGGCGAGGAGGAGGTGACCTTGAGGGTCGTCGTCAGCTTCTCCCCTCGTCCGCAGGGGGCGAGAGCCCGGAGGGTGCGTGCTGACTGCAGGCACGTGGGCCGTCTGTGGGCGCCCTACCTCCTGCCAGTCCTTCCTCTCGCCGTGTCATTGCGAAAGCCTGTTTTTTCCACCTCACATCATTAGTTGGCAGGCGGGTCCCCTAAGCCACAACATTCACTCTCTTTTTAAAAATTGCCCCGTGACTGTACTTGTTTATCCGAGTCTTCAGTCCCTTGAGGAAAGGGTTTCATTTTGTTTTGTAATCTGAAAAACACCCTTGTTTCCTCAAGCATTTTTAAAAAATTTTTTAAATATACTTTTAGAAGGGAAGAGAAGGAGAAAGAGAGGGAGAGAAACATCAGTGTGTGGTTGCCTCTCACATGGCCCTCATGAGGGACCTGGCTTGCAACCCAGGCATGTGCCCTGACTGGGAATCGAACCTGCAATGCTTTGGTTCCTAGCCCACGCTCAATCCACTGAGCTACACCAGCCAGGGCATCTTCTGCAAGCATTTACTGAGCACCGACTGTGGGCCGGGCCCTGTGAGGTGCTGGGGCTACAAACTGCAGCAGCCACACACCTTGGGCAGCTCAGGTCTGGCCCCCCCAGCCCCGCCCCCAGCCCCCATCCTGAAAATTGGTTGGCTGGCTGCTCTGGAGGGAGGGGGGCGGGGGGGAGGGCGGAGCCTGCACTAGGCCCCTGCCCCTGGTTGTCCTGCACGCTGAGGAGATGCCGCTGAGGGTCTGTCTCACGCCCCCCTCTTGTCTCCCCTCAGGGCGGCCTCTCGGCAGCCCCCGCCCGCGCCGTGTCCGCGGTGAAAAACATCAACCTGCCGGAGATGCCTCGGAACATCAACATCGGCGACCTCAACATCAAAGTCCCCAACCTGTCCCAGTTTGTCTGAGGGCTGAAGACCGTGCTGCACCGGAGTCCCGGAGCGAAGCCGAGCCAGTCCCGCGGCAGCACCCACTCCGAGCCGCAGGCGAGGAGCCGCGGCCCTGACCCACGCAGTGCCGGAGCGGCGCGGCGGGTCTGCCGGCTCTGACTGCGGGTGGGAGGGTCCGGGCCCCTCAGTGGAGGTCAGCGCACGGGGTTAGCTCGCCCGCTCTCCCTCCGCGTGCAGCCGCTCCCGGGGCTCGGGGCCGTGTGGAGAGGCCCGCCCGCTTCCCAGGACCCCCACCAGGACCTTGTCCGACTAGAGTCTTCTTCCGCAGCCCCAGGAGGCGCCCCGAGTCCCGTCGCGGCCACGGTTGCCGGCGAGGCGCCATCGCTGCAGGGGGTCTGGCCCGCAGACCTGAGCCGCGGTGAATGGCGGGCGAGGGCAGGGCCCTCCGAGGAGGAGGAGCGCCACCCGCTGGCTCCGCTAGGCCGTGCTCCCCGGAGTCTGCCGGTGCAGCCAGACTGTCGGATCGCGGCCTCCCGCGGGGCACTCCGCCCACTGCCCCCGTCCGAGCCCTGCCCCCCGTGTCTGCGTGCCCGCGGCCTGGTCAGAGGCCGGTGCCCGCCTCCCGCGTCCCTGCTGGTCGGAGAGCGACCCCACGCGGCGCTCTCTCCGGCGCAGCCGGATGCCCCCTCAAAGGGGAGAGGCCCTGTGTCTGTAGAAGATAAAGCTGGCACCGTATGGAATGTCTCAGAATGACTGCTCCTTCTGGGTTCAAAATACATTCTCCTCGCGAGGGGCAGACGGGTCAGGTGCTGTGTTCTGAGTGGCGAGTCTTCTCTGCACGGAACCCACTGCCGTCGCACCAGCCCTGGCGCGCAAGAGCCTGAGCCGGGGAAGGTTGGGCGCACAGGAAGCGTGCTGCCGAGACCGCTGGCAGGCGGACCGCTGTGGGAGCAGTCCCTCCCTACGCTCTGCTCTCGGGCTCGCCTTGTTCCCTGCAGCCGGCGTTCTCGCAGGGCTGGCTTTGGAAACGTGTAAATGCTTCTGTGTGGTCAGAGTCCTTCCCGCGGTTAACTCAGAGCTGCAGCCGCTCCTGGGGCAGCGCCTGCTGCTCCCACCCCGCTGCAGCCAGGCCGGCAGCGGGGCCTGCTGGTGCGTTCACGCAGCCTGTGTGGCACAGCGCCCCGCCGGGCCACGAGTCTGGACCACGGCCCTTTCCACTTCAGCCGGCGCCCACCGCTCAGGCCGCCTCCTGCCCCGGGCTTTGGAACCCTCTCCGGCAGCCCCCCGGAGGGGGGTGCCGTGTTAGGCAGAAGCCCTCTTGGTCAGAACAGGGAAGCGTAGGTGAGTGCGTCTGATGTCAGAGCCTTCGGAGGGGTTGGTTTTCTCGCACGGGCACGGGCACGTGGGCGCACTCATGCCCCTTCCCCTCCCGTTAGCCAAGTATGAGGTGGGAGCAGGGGAGGGGCGCCGACGCTCCTTTCGCACCCGCGGGGAGGGGGCTCGAGCGGGGCCCTCCCACGGCCCTTCCCACAGATGCCGCCGTCCCCGTTTTCCGGGTGAAGCAGCTGAGGCTGGGGAGGCCAGGTAGCCCTCACCAGGTCACTCGGCTGAGGAGGGAGCCCCCCAGACTCCAGAGCCCTTTGTTTTGTTTTTTCCTCTCCTAATGCCATCTTTAATCTTGTAGACGAGGAAACTGAGACCACAGAGTTTAGTAGCTTCTCACAGTCTGATTAACAACAGGCTTGGCTCTCCAAGGCAGCCGGAGCGCGGTGCCGGGAAGCAGGGCCCGGCGTCGGGGGCCGCCGTGCTGGATTCGTTCGTGGGTTGCTGCGCTGCAGCAGAAGCCGCGCATCCTGGGACCCCCTGGGGCGGTCCCCCACGTTCCACCTGCCCGGAAACGGGGGTTCCCACTAGCCGCTGTCTGGCCCTGCAGTGTGCACGCCAGCAGCACCCCTGGCGCCGCCTGCAGGACGACGGTGCACGGCCTCAGCCTGGCGCTGTGTGGGGAAAGACCGATCCCCTCGGACGGGCCCCAGCCCTCCTTCCCTCGCTGCTGGGGGTTGTTTGCGGGTGCGGCCGGCGCGCTCGCCCGCTCTCAGCAGAGCCGTAAGCTGCTTTTTTATGTGGGAAGAGGAACCCCTCATCGGCCTGTGTGTGGAGGGGGAGACACGGCTGCCGACAGAGGCCGGCTGTGAAAACGGGCGCCGGCCTGAGTGCGGGAGACCTTGGCCCCAGGGGGCCTCGCAGAGCGCGTCGTGAAGCGGCACAGAAGACCGGGCTCACGGTGCTCACTGGCACTCACTGAATCCTCAGACCCAGACTCTGGGCAGGCTGATGGGGGAGCAGTCCCGCTCCCTCCCTCGTCTCGTCTCCGAATGCTCAGACTCCGTGGCCAGCAGCCGGGAGGCCGGGACTGCACTATGTAGAGCGTTTCAAGGACCACCCGCTTCCCGCCCCCAGCCGACCCCATCCTGCCGTGCTGTGAACAGCCGGCCTTAGTCCACACCGCTGTCACAGTGACGACGCCACAGACATTGCTCGAAGCTCTGCGGGCTGGTCGGGACCCAGGTGCCAGCAGCTGCAGTGCCCCAGAGCCGCTGAAGGAGAGAGGAAGCTCCGTGGGCCGTAAAGGCACCTGCCCCATCCGCACTAGGCACTTCCCTCAGGCCCCACTTTCTCTCACCTTCGCACTGCAGATTAGACTCCAGCGTTCAGGCCGGGGGTGGGGGTGACATCCAGGCCATACAGTCTCCCCCCGCCCCCCCAACCATGACCCACAGTTGCTCTGGGCCTGGTAACGCAGAGGCTGAAGTCAGGACACCATGTCTCGGGTTCCTATTATTCACGCCTCTGCCACGTAGGAGCTGGCCTGGCCTCCCTGCCACCTCCCCCTCCACAGAGCCGCGCTGGTGAAGCCTTCGGGGGCCCCGGCTCCCCAGATAACAAACCAGGGGACCACGGCTAAAGCCAGGCTTCTGGCTAAGTCCTGTCCTGGGGCCCAGCCTTCGGTAGGGCCTTCCCTTGGTGTGGCCGCCTGCCCCCGGCTCTCCGAGTGGGATGCAACCGCAGGCTCATCGCCTCCCAGCAAGTTTCTCTACCCCCAGCCTCCCGAGCCCTCTAACCGACTTCTCCTTCGGGGAAGGTGCCAGTCTCTCGAGCAGCCACTGTTACCTGGATGGCCACCCGCGTGGTCAGGGCTGGGGCCTTGGAGCCCCGGGTCCCCCACCCACAGCGATGGGCAGATATGCGCACACAGGGGCCCTTTAAGGAAGCCGTCCCATTAAAAATGATTGATGCGTTCCTCAAGGCTGTGTACAGCTTCTCCTGCTTCAGCGACCGAGCGCTCTGGAAAGGAAAATGCTCCCGTAGTGCGAAGGTGCAGACAACCAAAGACTGTTGGGCTGGGCCCGGCTCCCCGTTCCCGGCCGGATCCGGTGGTTCCGATGCCCAGGAGTGAGAAGTCCCAGGGTTTCCGTCGTTCCCGAAGCTCAGTGTGCCTCCCGCTGGACGGAGCGGGGCCGCCCAGACCACCCCGGGCTGCCCCCCACCCCCTGCACCCCCTGCCGGGGACTTGCACGTCCCGGGTGTGGGGCTGTAGCTCCCCTCGGTGGTGCCCTGCGCACGCCCCTTCAGAACATGGCCGGCTCCCACTCTGCGCTCCCAGGCTCCCAGGGTCCCGTGCAGCGGGCCCTCCCCGAGGTGACCGTCCGAGTGCTGAGCAGCACGGCTCAGGCCCTGGCCGGTCAGAGTGGAGGTACCGGGCGGGGGTGCGGCGTGGCTGGTGGGCCTTGTGGGTTCTGCCACCAGGACCCCGCCTCTCCTCAGGCGGCAGAGGGGCGGCTGCAGCTGCGTCCTTTGCCGCCTGCTGCGGGCCCAGGTGAGGCCCCTGGGGTTGGATGTGTGGCTCGCTGAGGTAGCGTGCCTCCACCAAAGCCGGGTCTGTGGTGGGAGGGACGGGGGGCCTCCTAGGGCCCCACCTCTGGGCCCTCACACGCTGGCAGCGAAACTGGGCCGAGACACAGCCACAAGCCCAGGTCACTGCCACTGCAGAGGGCCACTGCCGCGGCCTGGGCGGCCTGGGACCGAAGCTCCCCCCTGGCCTCTTGGCACTGGCACTGGGTGCCGTTCCCTCGACGCCCCTCCAGGCCTCCCACGGGCCCCGCAGCTGGCCGGAGGCGTGCACGCAAGTCCTGCCCTGCCTTTCTGGCCTATGGACGGCCTGGGATGGGGTCCTTTTTTGCTAGGAAAGCGCATGTGTCATGAGGCAGGCAGGAATTTGAACTGCCAGCTGCTAAGCCAGTTTTTCCAGAACTTCGTGTGTGGCTGGGAGGTCCACCAAGGAGGTGGCTCCCTCTGAGATGCTGGACTGGGTGCTCCGAGGGCATTTCCTGGTGAAATTCCCCTCCGTGAGGTTCTCAGCCACTACCTGCCCCTTCCCCACCAGCTGGGCCAAGAACACAGCGGCCGTTTCCAGTTCACGGTGCTGAAACAGGGTTGGAGGGGAATCCCCAGGTCTAAACTGCCAAACACGCGAGCGCCCCCGTGATGCTGCCTGGCATGGAGCCGCACCCGGCACCGGCCGACCGCTGGGTGGGGCCCTTGCTGGCAGGCCCTCCCTGCGCTGTAGGACTCGGGGTCACACCCAGCCCCCTCAGGTCGCCCCCTCCCAGCCCCAGCCCAGCCCAGCCCTGCTGCGCGGCTCTGGGCCCCTGGCCTCCAGGTGATATCTGGTCCTCACATGCCCTCACCGGTGGTCCCTCTACTGAGCCCGCAGCCCCCAGCTTTGGCCTGTGAGGGGTCAAAAGCGTCCCACGTGGCCACACCAGGGAGAGTGCCTGGCCATAGTGGTGTCACCATCGTCCTGCCCCTGGCTGGCCTCTCCCACCCCGGGCCCTCCCAGGCCGGACGGGACCCAGGTCCTCAGAGCTGGTGCGGGGGAGAAGGGAAGGCCTGCGGTCAGCATGGCCCTGCTCATTCGTCAGGGGCCAGCTGGCCGCCACCTGGCCTTCCCCACGCTGCTGGGAGGCAGAGCGCGGCTGCTGCTGCAAAAGCTGTGTACCCGCGGCCCTTTGCTAATAACTGTCCCCGCCCGGGTGCAGATCCCCACCCTCGGTGGCCACTGTCCGCACCCTGCCTCCCCAGAGTTCCAGTGTTGGACACGGTGTGGCCTCACCCTTTCCCCGAAACCTCCATCCAGGTGGGGCCCCCAGAGGTCTGGAGCGGCTTCAGTGACTGGCAGGCACGTGGCCCTGCAACTGTGGGCAGCCGAACCTGGGGGCCGAGTTCCGGCACCCCGGAGTACCCGGGGGAGGGCTGCCCACTCCCAGGGCCGGCGGGCCTCCCCAAAGCGGCTTGGAGCTGCTGGGCGGGGGGCCGGCGCACTGGGGCCGCAAGCCACCCGAGGGCTCCAGAGACGAGACGAGACGGGGCAGGAAAGCTGCCTCCTGGGGCCCCGCGGGGCATCGGGGCGTGGGGGTGAAGGGACCTCTGTCTGTTGTCTAGGGAGGGGTATCCAACCCGCATGCGGCCCAGGACAGCTGGGAATGCGGCCCAGCGCCACATCATACCTTTACTTACAGTATGATGAGACTTTTTGTGATGATGTGTCTCCATGTATTTAACGTGTGGCCCAAGACAACTCTTCCAGTGTGGCCCCGCCAGAGATGCCGAGAGGCCGGACACCCCCGGCTAGGGTTTCAAAGAAGGAAATTCCGCAGGAGGCCTCGGGGGGCCAGAGCGAGGGG